CTACCACCACCACCACTACCACTACCAGCACCACCACCTCTTGAAACATCCGGCCGCGTTAATACGAACTTTACCTTGAAAAGGTGCTGGATTCTCATGGAAAACTATTGTGAACGTCTCGCCAACCCCTCGAGCACTGGAATTATGACGGAAACGGATAACGGGATTTCAACGAAATTTAAGATTTAAGCTGTGTACCTTCTTCTCCTACTTCCAAAATTATCCACGTATAAGATTATGATATAAATTTCCAACTAAAACTTTCCATCTATCTATCTATCTATCTATCTATCTATCTATCTATCTATCTATCTATCTATCTATCTATCTATCTGACTATCTTTTTCTATCTTTCTTTCATTCTCTCTCAGTCATTCTGTCTCACTACGTGCAGGTTTTACGATGAAATCGGATAAAGAACGGCTTCACTCTGGCTTGTAAAGAATTTTGTTAAGACTCGTCGTGGCACCCCCTTTCTCTCCGTAACCAACTCAAAAACAAAACAAAAGACTTATTTTCCAAGTTCTATCTTTTTCTTTCTTACTTTCTCATACTTTTCTTTTTATCTTCTTACTCTCTATCGCATTACCAACATATGTATATATATATATATATAGGTTCTCACACGTGGAATATCCTCTCTGCTGCGAAAAATTCAGTCGTTTCTCTATTTTATAGGTCGGCATCAGAAACGTCGACGTGTTTCTCGTGACCGTGCAAAGCCAACCCTTATTTCCTATATCTATGTACTTTTTTATCTTTCTCCATCTGTTCCTTTCTTTCTTTCTTTCTTATATTTTGTCTATAGACAGCACTACAGTGGTGTTGTTTTCGTATTACCTACTACAGGACAAACAGGTGTATATACCTTTTGACAGAAACTACAAGAGACACTACTCTTTTATAAACTACTTCTTTCCTATAACAATGATAGCCAATATAATACGAACAATTCTTGAGTAATTCGGTATCGACGTTTGTCCACTAGTTTATGATCACCGATGGTTGTTGTACCATTAAATGAATAACCTTTTCCTTTTCTTTATTTATCCTACTTTTTGTTTTATTTCAAATTCAATTCGAGTAACTCGATTTATTTCTTTCATTTTTAGTTATTTTTTTTTCCTTTTCTTATTTTTCGTCTTTTTCTTCTTCCATTATTCATTATCAATATTATTTTAAAAATAGATATTTATTTTCATATATATATATATATATATATATATCGATTAACAATTATTTCCAATCTATTATTATAATACACTTAACTGGAAACTCGTGAAATTTCATAAAGCATCCATGCTACCTACTTCATAGTACTACCACCACACACCGGGTCTTACTATTCGAAGCCTCGACTACGCAAACACACGTTAAGCTCGTCTTCCTTCATTGAATACAAGCTGTACATAACCGAAAGCTATGACAACATCAGGAACAACATCAAAGACGGAACAAACAACGCATCTTACCATATCCTAACATTCATGATTCCTAAATTTCATATTCGCTATCTGCAAAGAGGTACTTTCATTTTTTTTTTGTGCTTTTTCTTCTTTTTTAATCACATACCCTAAAGAAAAAGTATTTTTTTCATAAATATTACACAACTTATCATCCATAAATATATATATGTATATAAATATCAATCTCTGTTCATGTTTTATATTAAATTTTTTTTAAAGTATACTTTTTCTTTACCTTTGACGTTTATTGAAGTGAAAACTTCTTTAGAATGGAAGTGATCTGAAAAGTAAATAAACGCGGTCGATCAGGAAACGGAGCTATGAAACGGAGCTATGAAACGGCTGCTATACTAAATAATGAGAGAAAAAGAGTTAAACGTGGACCCGTATTCTTTCCCGTATCGTTGGGTCGTTATTAGTCATTTTTACGAATCAAAAATAATACTTATCGGTCATTAACCACTTGACATACAATGACGTCTCGGAGACGTCATTTTTTTCATGTGCCATTGTAAACTTTGACGTCTCCGAGACGTCGAGAACTGTTTTCGGCTGTTTCTGTTTTGAAAAGTATCACACGTTACAAGATTATTAAATTATTATTTTACAGTATTACTTAATTAATTATCAACCTTATTAAATTTTATAAAGCAATGTAAATTTCAAAATAAAACACCGCACATTTTATTTGTATGTCAAGTGATTAATAAGCGTCATTGTAGTATTTCAAATTAAAATTAACACGTAATTTTAGTATTTCAAATCTGAAACGTAAAATATTGCAAATCGAAGAATGAAAGTTAATTAAAAGTTGGACTGTTAAGGGTTAAAAAGGTTATTGATATTTAAAAAGGAAAGAATTTCGTTATGGTGATGGTGGTGACACAGAACAATTATCAATCGCAGTTTACACACAAGAAACACACTCACTAAACGAGTATATATGAACGTTTCAAACGATTAGGTGTATTATCCTAAAAGTAGGGAGGATCTTTCTTATTTCTTATCTTCATCGGACGTACCGTTTACCAACGTTCACAACGTCTTCGTCGATATCGTTCGTTAAAGCAAAAAGTTAAGAAAGAAAGGGAAAGAGAGAGGGAGGGAGAGAGAGAGAGAGAGAGAGAGAGTGAGAAAGAAAGCAAGAGTATCGTCTAACAAGATGCCGAAGCATCATTTTACTTGCTATCGTCTTCCAACGAAATTTTCTTCGCCATACTTGGAAATACTTTTTAACCGGCTAACAGAAGATACTGGAAGGCAAAGAAAAAAAGAGATAACCACCCTCTTTTAAATGGACTTTCACGCTTGATTAATGATATACTAATTAGTAAATTAACTTCTTTTAAGATAAGATAAAAAAGAACAAACCTTCTTCCCCAATTCCCCCTTCCTTTCTTTCTGACAATTTATGAAAAGATAAGTCCTTATTCCTTTAAGTCATTACGAATTGATTTTCATTTCTTTTCTTTAGAAAAGAAAATAAAAGAAAAGAATATAAGGATAAATAATTACTTCATTCGAAAAATGAACTTTTCACGAGTTGAAGGAAGGAAAAAAAAGAAGAATTTTTAATTAACGAATGTACTAATTATGAAAATTAATTTCCACCGGGAAACTAACTATTACTTTTCCTCTTTACACAACTTACTTACGAAATAGAGAGAGAGAGAGAGAGAGAGAGAGAGAGAGAGACGTGGGTGGGACAGGGGGAGGTGCAAAGGGGAAATAATAACGTATTTATGAGATACAAATGTATGCATTGTTTTGAAATCGCAGCTAATTGATTCTATTTTCTTCTAGGACGAACCAGAGGGGATTACCAATAAAAATAACTACGTTGGATGTTTTAAGGCGACGACGAATGCAATTAACTCGTCCGACGTGAAAACGTCGAAACACGCGACAGGAGAATGCAACGACAAACCACCGCCACCCATCCATTTTCACCCACCCATTCAACTCCTACGTCGACATTAATTTTCTTTCATTTCCTGTTTCGACCGCAGCACGATCTCTCTCTTGCGGTGTGACGGTAACTCTCTCTCCTCCCTTTTTCCATTCCCTTCTCCCCCAACCCTTGTCCTCACCTTTCCTTAATCCCCTTCTCTCTTTCTCTCTTTCTCTGTTTCTTACTCCCTCATTCATTTCAACCTTCCGTCTCTTTTACTCTCTTTACTTCTGACATTTCTTGTGTATGTTTAGTATAACTTTGCACGCATGCAGATACCATCATTATAATGTGCACCCACGCACGCAGGTTAGGTACGTACATAGCGTGGGAAACACGTTAATGTTTCACCATACAGTTAGAATCAACGCGACAACATTCGTCGTGTAACGATGCAATGACGACAACGACGAATAAGGAAGTAGATAGGTAGGATAGAAGGTTAAAGGGTAGAGGGTGAAAAGAGAGCAGCAACGAAGAGGGAAAGTGGAGAAAAGCCGCATCACGCGTTTCTCGAAGGTAGGAAGGAAGGAAGGAAGGAAGGAAGGAAGGAAGGAAGGAAGTAGTGGAACGTTAGAAGGGTTACACTTAATTTCTGCTTAATAAAACGTGTAGAACGTTAAACATAAAAGCGAAACGATAATATACCTTGTAATATGTAATATACACATAACGTGTCTCATTTCAATCGATTCATTTAAATATTTTGAAAATTGTTAGGATTGTATAAAAAAAGAATGTATTAGACAAAAGTTTGAATATATTATGTCAGATGATAAAAGATAAGATCAAAAACCACTGTAAAAAGATCTATATTAAAAAAAAAAAAAAAAAAATAGAATCATCGATTAAGATTGATATTTGTATTAAAGGATATAAAAGTGCATAATAATAAAAATTACTTAACGAATAAAATGTATTACATTAATTTTCTCTTAATTAAAAAAAAAAAAAAAGGAAAAACAAGAACAGAACAAAACATTAAATATTATTTTTTCTTTCGCGGCGACACAAATTAGCGCGTAATGTTTCTGAAAGAAAAGAAAAGAAAAGTAAAAAAGAAAAGAATAGAAAAGGAAAGAAAACAAAATGAGAAGCGAAGAGGATAAAACAAAAAAAAAACAAAAAAAGAAAAGAAAAGGAAAGAAAAGACGAAGGGTTAATTCTGTGGGCCTGTTAGAAAGAGAAAGAGAGTGTTTACTACGTTAGCTACTCGTAGATGGAAAGAGAACGAGGTATTCTCGAATAATACACCTACCCCCCCCCACACACACAAACACACATACACACAAGGTTAGATATCGCGCGTTCTCTCGCGAGGTATAGACCCCACACGGTGGGCGAGAACCGTAATGGGTTGAAGAGAGTAGTCGAAAGGGCGCAGTCGCGAAGCCGGAGAAACCCTCGACCCCCGGCCACCACCACCACAACTACCTACCACCACTACCACTATAAGCATCACCACCTCCACTAGGAGCTAGGAGGTAAAAGTAGGAGTAGAAGCACAACCACCACTACCACCACCACCATCTACCACCACCACCATCACCATCAGAAACAGCAGCAGCAGCAGCAGCATCGCCGACGACGAGCGTCGAGCGGCGTCGGCGTCGACGTCCTACCGGCGCGACGCGAGAATCTCGTCGTCGTTTCCTACCTTGAGAGAGAAATCGAGTCCGACTCGTGCGGGGGTGCGGGCCGCACACGGTTCGCCGGAAAAGTCCTCGCGGAAATATTCAACGACCTTTCGATAAAACCCTGGAATATATATACACATATATATATTGATATATATATATATATATAGATATATATACGTCCTATATATACAAGTAGTTATTAAACATATTATTGGCAGCCGATACAACAATTTAACGAGTTTGGGACCCTGTTTCCATTTTCTTTTTTTTTTTTAATCTATATACATATTTATATACGTACATATATACATATATGTGCATTTATATGTATGTATATATATACTAAATGTATAAATATATGTATACAGAGACGAATGTATTACGTGAATATACGTAGGTGTAATTTCTCATTTCATTTCTTTGATCGCTCGTGTTGCCGAGAAATAAATTTTCCCGCGTCCGATTTGATGAAGGAAGAAAGATAAGGGGAAAGACAGAAAGAGAGAGAGAGAGAGAGAAAGATAATCACAAAGTGAAGTAAGTAATCGTCGTGATTCGTGAAAGGGAATTTCCTGCTTTGGAGAGAGACCTTCCATTCCTTCTATTTCTTCGAGAAGATAAGATAAAGGTGAGAAGGTCAAAAAATAAAAAATAAAATCCAATGAAATAAAAAGAAGATTCGAGGTTTGGATTGTAAAAGAAAGTATGGTATTTCTATGCGCGTGTTCTGTGTCTTCTTTCATCCTGGATTAGAAGAAGAAGAAGAAAAAGAAGAAGAAAAATAATAATAATAAGAAGAAGAAACCAACTCAAAGAAGGAAAAGGGCACAAAAGGGTGTCACTAAAAAGAGATTTTACTTCACGACCAAAGTAAACTTTCCCTACTTCCAAGTTTTCAAGGTATTACCAAAAAGGAAAGTAAACAAAAAAAGAAAATAAAAAAATAAAAAGGTAATAGTGCGCGTGTTTGTGTGCGTGCTCTCGATAATAATGGCCAATAGCGATTGAGAATATCTTCGCAACAATCTGCGGACACGTAAGTGTGTTAAGTTACATTCCTCTAACGTTGTTGATTAGCTGCTGGCTGAGAAAAGGATGCGGGTTTGAGAATTCCGTTCGAATGAAACTTAGAGGGACAGTGGTGGAGGAGGAGTAGAGAAATGTAAAAAAAAAAAAGAGAAATAAAAAGCATTCTGCGGGAAGGACATTTCGTCGACTTTACGAGGGTTTTCAACTCGTTAAATCGCACGGACCTACTACAAGACTACTCCTCCTCCTCCTCCTCCCCCAGCCACCACTTTAAACCCCTAACCCCCAGCCCCCATTGAACCTTGCAGTTTCGTTTCTACGTTTGCCCGTTTTCCCATTGGATTTATCGATCGAACAGCGACTTTAGAATGACAGGATTTCGATTTAAGGCCTTCGCGATTTAAATGCCATTCAACGACGTTATCTTCGTAACAGTCGACCCCTAGCTCAGGGTTTTATCTACCTTTACCTATCAACTATAAATACTACGTCCACTTTCGGTCAACATGTTCTATCCCTTTTTTATTTTATTTTATTTTATTTCATTTTATCTTTCAACCAATCTCTTTCTTCTTTTCTCATTCTCTTTCTCTTTCTTCTTTTTCTCATTCTTTTTATATCTCCATTTACTTTCTTTCTAATAGGATAACATAACTCATTGATTTTTCGATATCCCCCAATGGTATTCTCCAGAAAAATATTTCCGAAGGAAAAGCAAATGCACCAGAATCGACCTACCCCCTCTAACCCCTCCCATTGGGTAAAACTATATTCGAGTTAAGGAAAGAGAGAGATAGAGGAAGATGGATTGATAAATAGATAGATAGATAGATAGATAGATAGATGGAGAAAGATAGATAAAACAAATTTTAACTGGAAATATTATTTACTTTAATCTTATGTCGAGGCATTTATTAAAACACAGTAAACGACTGTATAATAATTCGAACATCATTCTCATTTTTGAATCTCTATTAAAATAGCCTTTACGTTTTAATATTCTAACTAAACTTCTAATATATACGTGAAGCATATATTTTCTACATGAACCAAAATAGAAAAAGATAGGATTGAGATAAACCTGAGATAAGTGGAGACAGAATTTATCATCGTGTTTGTACATACGAACGGATCTATGCATGTTACCTTATTTATAGGAATTATCTTATCGAACATTGTATTTCTACTTGTCACTGTTCGTTTGAACATGATGACGATAATAACAATGCAGCCGATTTCGAACATACCACAAATTCATTATACTGTAATCAGAATTGTATATATTCCTACCCTTTTCCCCTACATACTTCATTTCTCTTCATTGTATTCGATATTTTTTTCAATAGACATTTAATTACTTTGAACTCGATCAAACGGATGAAACGAAACGGAACGGAATGTTGTAATGATCAAAAATGATCAAGGTAGATTAAAATAAAAAAGATAAAGAGAAAAAGATATAAAGTTCATTTTATAAACAGATACAGAAACGTTTCCAAGCTCGATTCGATGAATTCCTATAAAGGTAGAAGGGGTTTGAGAGAAGCAGTGGAGGGGTGCGAGCGGTTGCTTGTAAAGTTATGCCGATCCATTTTAAAAGAGTAAAATCGCTTTGATCCCCTTTACTTTGATTAGAGATATATTTAACTTTGGGTTCCGCTAACGTGGTCTAAGCTGGATTTTCTCTGAATTTCAAATACAGCAGCCCCTACTACTCATTCATTTGGCCTTTTCCAACCACCCCTTTCTCTCTCTCTCTCTCTCTCTCCATCTCCCTCTCTCCCACACCTTGCCCCCTCTACAATCTCCTCATCCCCCTTAGGGGCGTTTCTTGACCCTTTTGCTGCTCGTGCTTAAACTGGAGTAAAGTTTAACTCATCCCTGGAAGGACTAATTTTCTTTTACTTCGAAAGACGACGGGTGGGTCTTGTCTCTTCTCGTTTCTCGTTTGAAATTTTCTTCCTACTGAGGAAGCTGAAACAACGGTAGAAATGAAGAAAGAATGAATGGGAAACGAAAAATAGTACAAAAAATAATATAAAAAGAAAGGGATGAAAAGAAAGAAGAAAATAGAAACACAGAGTGAGAATTAGATGGAAATAAGGATAAAGAAATGAAATAATCGAATATTAGTAGGACACGAACAAAGAACTGATACAAAGGGGTCAATGGTTGTAAGGGTAACAGAATCATGAGGGTTGCTTGAATCCTAACTTTATGGATGATAAAATTCATAGGTTATTTCTCGTCTTAACGCTTACCCATTATCTTCGAACATTATCGTCTCGTATTACTTAAATAAAGTTTCATTTTTATCTGATTATATATATTTTCTGTTTTTTTTTTTATTTTTTTATATTTTTTTTTTTATTCTTTCTCTTAAGACACAAAAGAATATTTTTTCTATTTTTCCAAAGAAACCGTATACTTAGGTTTTCTTTTCTAAAACCTCGCGTTACGTATTATACACCACCCACCTCAGTATAGAAGCAGCAGCTACTTCTACTCATAAAACAATCGTGAAATTCTGGAAATATATTATGGGAAAGTTGGTGGTGGTATTTTTTTCCTTTTTTTTTTTTTTTTGCTTCTTCCTCATCTTATTCTTATTATTCTTCTTCTTCTTCTTCTTTCTATATGTTTTTTTGACGAGTAACATTAATATTTAAAACAACCGCGTCTCGTAAAAGCTGCTTTGACTGTTAAGAAAGTTTAACGATTATAATGTCGTACGATGAAGTTACACGAGTAGAAAAGTTATGGGTATAACTATTTGACAGGTAGTTTAACCTTAAGTAGAGAAAACTTTAATTATAAGTAAGTCAGGCATAAAATCATTTTCCTTTGTCCATTAACTGTTAATACTTATGTTATTTGCCTTGTTCTTTTTTTTTGTTTTACATTATTCTCATTTTATTTCCACTTTATTTTATTTCTTCTATTTTATTATTTGGTCCTCCCTTAATGAGGATAAATCAGGACTATAATTCTGACGCAAACTAATACCCCATCTGTATGGGAGGATCTTTGAATCCTGGACACCCTTTGAACCGACTATATAATCGCAGAATATCCTAACGAATACGTGTACACGTTAAGATATATATGCATATATATCTATGTACATGTAATATATAATTAATCTCATCCAATATTACGGATTATTCTAGATCGTATATTAGCTCGGTTCTCTAACTAGACTCCGAGCAAAATTGTACGGCAGACGCAGATATTATAATTTCGAGGTCGATTTTAACGGAAGCTCGTTCGAGCGTGAAAACTTTACGAGAAAAGTTGGAACTTTCTCTATTCGAAGGAAAAATGTGAAGCTTGAGTCGTTCCCTTCCTTCTCAACCCCTCTTTTACCGTTCCCTTGCTTTTCATTCATTTTTTTTTTATTTTTCCTCTCCTCCTCCTCCTCCTCCTCTTCCTCCTCTACCTTCACCTTTTCCACCCATATTTTTCCCTTCATTTTTTTTGGACTTTTTCTTTTTCTATTTCTCATCTAAAGGATAGAAAGATATTCCAACAATTCTTAACGTAATACTGTTATATAATACACATATATAGATATATAGATATATATATTATTTGCTATAAATTTAAAGGTAGAAATGGGTAAACCCTAAACGTCAAGCGACGTGTCCAACGTTTGTTCACTTCTATGTGAGCTTTTATTCGGTTATACGTTTTAACGTGCGCATCCTACCGAAAGATAGAGCCGGGATTCAACGCTTAAGAGTCGGGACGAATGAAATTGGAAAAACGTTCAATCTTTCATTGTCTTTTTTTTTTTTTCTTTTATTATTTTTCTAAAGCAAGCCCACTATTCCTACCGTGCGATAAAAATATCAACTTATACATAAACGTACGTGTAGTACACGTGTGTAGTGTTGTTCGGTTTTTTTTCAATCTCTTCGATGTGTTATCCTTTTTTTAATATATATATATATATATTTTTTTTTTCTTTTTTCATTAAATTATGACCACATCTTGTATTACACGTACACGTATAAATACATGTACGTACACACCCCTATAATAATATATGTGTATCGCAACGTACACCTATATAAATAGCTTACGAGCTTGAGCGCTTTATTACTCGATCTTCGAAGTAGCATTATAAAGAAAATGACTCTGAAATTTATCGCTTATGCAAATATTACCTCGAGATGAGATAATGTTCTATCGTTATGAGTTCGAGGCACTATAGAAAAATTTTATGTCACGAGGGGATACAGTTGGTAGATGAATAGATGGGTGAATTGAGTGGATGAGTTCGATGATTCAACCCTCCTACTATTTCGTTTCTTTTCAAAAAATATTTACTTCCTTCTATCCCTCTTTTTCTAATATCAATGATATATTTTTATATATCCGAGTTAATATAATATAATATAAATATTATATTTTTAAAAGATATAATACATGTTTGGTTGAATAAAAATAACTGTATAACTAGAGAGAAAGAAATAAAGTTCATTGAAATAAAAGTGAATTATGTTAAGCAAGTAATTTTGCACAGCAATTGAATTATGAATTATATTTTTCTTTTTCTCAATGAGAAGATAAAAAAGAAAAACATTTAAAAAAAAAAAAAATAATAAATAAAACGTCATAAAGATCTTTTATGATAAAAAAGAAAAAAAAAGAGAACCAGAACCAGAGATAGAAATATAAATGACAAAAATGCAAATGCATTTAACGTAGTAGGAACAAGAATATGAACTCGTCCATGAGTATTTTGTAGGTTAAAAGCATCAGTGATGGTAGTGGTGGTAGTGGTGGTGGTGATGGTAAGGGAAGTTGTTCGAAATTAGTCGGACTCGTGACTTCCGAAGCAATTTCGAAGATCCTAGAGCATTTGAGAAAATGAGAAAGTGAAAGAGAAAGAGAGATAAAGATATAGATAGATATAGATATAAAGATAGAAAGAGAAACAGCACACACACACACACACACACACACAAAGATAAATACATATGTATGTTAAGTACATAATAC